GTTTTCATATTCATCTTCATCGTTTTCATATTCATCTTCATCGTTTTCATCTTCACCTTCATCGTCTTCATCTTCATCGTTTTCATCTTCATCTTCATCGTTTTCATCTTCATCTTCATCGTTTTCATCTTCATCTTCTTCGTTTTCATCTTCATCTTCATCGTTTTCCTCTTCATCTTCATCGTTTTCATCTTCATCTTCATCGTTTTCATCTTCATCTTCGTCATTTTCATCTTCATCTTCATCGTTTTCATCTTCATCGTTTTCATCTTCATCTTCATCGTTTTCATCTTCATCTTCATCGTTTTCATCTTCATCTTCATCGTTTTCATCTTCATCTTCTTCGTTTTCATCTTCATCTTCATCGTTTTCCTCTTCATCTTCATCGTTTTCATCTTCATCTTCATCGTTTTCATCTTCATCTTCGTCATTTTCATCTTCATCTTCATCGTTTTCATCTTCATCGTTTTCATCTTCATCTTCATCGTTTTCATCTTCATCTTCATCGTTTTCATCTTCATCTTCATCGTTTTCATCTTCATCTTCATCGTTTACATCTTCATCTTCATCGTTTACATCTACATCTTCATCTTCATCGTTTACATCTTCATCTTCAACTTTACTCAAAACCATTTCTTTTGATACCCATATTGGGATACTTTATTTATTTAATAAATAATATCATTTCGTATATATGGCAAACCTTTAAAAAACTAAAATCATATTACACATCTAAAGGTCTAGCCCTTTCATTTGACACCTCATCCTTTAAAATCGAAAGAACGATACAGATTTTACGACTAGGTGTTAAATATTTAACACAACACTCTGCGGAATTACATTTTCTAACATGCGGCAGCTCCTTTCATGGAACTAAAGCTATGTTGCACACCCGAAGGACGAGAAAATCGAACGAACGGTACAGATTTTATGACTTGGTGTTAAATATTTTTTTATTTTTTTATTTATGTCTAACAACTAACTATAGTTATAACAGAAATTAAGCAGAATATTAAATATAACTATCAGTCATTATGCTAAGTTGTCTACTTAAAAATTTAATTTACAAGATTACTTAAGTAATAATTCAAAAAAGAAATAAAGAATTTCAAACAGATTAGGAATTACAAAATTTGCATGATATTAATGACTGGACATAAGATATCTTTCCAATTCTAATGTAGTCGCTCTAGTATTGGTAAAATCAATGTCTAAAAAATTTTAAAAATAATTGAAGTCTGATAAGATTCAGTTTATTGGCGCGTTTGCACCGTAAACCGTTCTGCTTAGCCCAAACTTAAACGCGTCAAAGCGACGCAAGTTACGGCTGGGAACATAAAAATGGATTCTCTCAAGTAGGGCCGGGCACTCAACTTTTCCCCGAGATAATACCCAATAAAAATGAGATAGCCTCAGAAGTTCTTCTATTTTGCAAAGTTGGTAGGCTAATTAGCCGACAACGGGATACATATGATGGCAATGGTTCCACAAACCTTAGTGAACGTAAAGCAAAGCGTAAAAATACCTTTAGCACCTTTTTTAAACGATTAATATGAACAGTATGACTCGGTCTCCAAATAATCGCAGCATATTCCAATTTTGAACGCACAAACGCCGTAAAGAGCATTTCAATCGTATAAGGATCGGTGAACTCTGAAGAGTGACGTCTAACAAATGCAAGCATGGCAAATGAGTCAGCAATAGTTTTATTTAAGTGCCAAGTGAACGTGAGTTTTGAGTCGAAATGTACTCCAAGGTCCTTAATCTCACTTAACGAGTCAAGGCAAACATTTGCAATGGAATAAGATGTTGCTAAAGGTACTTTCGATTTAGTAAATGATACCTTATGGCATTTTCTGATGTTACGGAAAACCGATTTTCAACATACCCAGTATAAAGCCTGTCAAGCTGCGATTGAAGTTCAGCCGAGTCATTTATGCATCTAATTTCAGAATATATTTTCAAGTCATCTGCAAACAGAAAAAAACTAGCATTTGAAAAACGGGAACTGATGTCATTAACAAATAGTACGAAAAATAGTGGGCCCAGGATGCTACCCTGTGGGACACCTGAGAAAGCAAAAAATGGCTTAGACGAAACGCCATCGATAACCACCGTGCTAGATCTCATGCGTAGGTAGGACCTGATCCACTTAAGGAAGCCCGAATGAATACCCATATATTCTAATTTAGTTAATAAAATATTGTGGGATATCTTGTCGAAGGCTTTTGAAAAGACTGTGTATATCACATCAAGTTGAAAGCCATTACGATAAGTTGAGAAACAATCCTCCGTGAAAACTGCAAGGTTAGTCACCGTAGATCTGCCCGATACAAAGCCGTGCTTATTAGGCCAGATCAAATGTTTGACATTAAAAAAAAGTTTCGTTTTAATAATGTTTTCGAATATTTTAGCAACTGTGGACAATTTACTAATTAGTCTATAATTTTCAACATCGCATTTGTTTTCAGTCTTAAAAATAGGTGTGATTGACGTTCGCTTCCAGTCATCAATAAACAGACCTTCAGAAAGAGATTTATTGAATACTAGATCGCCCTCACCCGCTTCGCTGAGTGTATGAAATTTCTACGTGCTACATTGAGTAAAATTTATTTCAAGAAAACTCAATTAAAAAATAGGAGGTTTAAAATTTTTTTAACCATCTTCAAAATAATTTCAAACTGCATAAAACTTTCTTTCTCACTTATCGTACTTTTTCCATTAACTTATCCCCTGAACGCAATTTGAGATTTTAAACAGAGGGAAACCCCTTACATGTAGTTTTGATACCCATATTGTAGTAATTCATTTAGATTATTAATAGTTTGAATTTAACCTTCTGAACAGTTGGCAACCTTTTTACATACATATTCAAAACCATTTCGATTCATACCAATCTATAATAATATATATTTTGAAAGCCGTTTTTTTTTTGTGTTCGCAAAGCTCGAGAACGGCCCCACAGATTTTTTTGAAATTTCGGACACCTGCTTCAGACGTCCCAATGATGGTTATAGGCTACAAAAAATCGCTATTTTTTAATTTGGCGTGGCACCTCCCATACAAAGTCTATGTATATTGGATTTCTGTAGAACAATTATACGCATCCATTTTGAAGTTGCCACCAACTATACTATAAAGTTTCTGGGGCAGATTCACTATAGAACCGGATCATTGTTGCCGCCAGGGAGTGAAAAGGAAATGTTCTTCAAATTTATTTCGTTGTGAGATTAACCGTTCAATGAAATGCTGCACAATTAGAGAATTTCAAGAACTTCTTACGGACATAACACTTTCGTTAGGTTATTTAAGGCGGCAAAAGACCACCAAACCATAATCTTAGCCGATGAGCGTGCCAATGGAAATCGTAGACGTGAATTGTTGGTGAAAATGTTGGACCAAAATGTTTCAATGATAAAATTAAGTTTGGGCGGGACGAAGCTTGCCGGGTCTGCTAGTATTATACTATTTTATTTAAACTAATTGAATTTAATTTAAAAAATGTGGCAGCCCTTGTTATTATATTATTCAAAACTTTCAAACTAAAGGTTTCTTATCAATATTTCTTTTGACAACCATATTTTAATTCTTCAGATTAATTTAAATTTGACTTTTCAAGACACATTCAAACTACAGCTTATTTAAGCCTCTTGACATCCATTTTTTTAATATAATTTTCAAATAAATAACTCACTTAATTGGATTTGAATTTGACTTTTTGTAAAAGGTGGCAGCTCTTATCCATAAGTAGATAATGATTTTATATATCTCCATACCAATTTCCAGTAATCTACCAAAAATGTTTCCTGAGAAAAGCAGTATGAAAAATTCCGTTTGTATGGGAGGTGCCACGCCCCCTTTTCTAATCGAGATTAAATGTATCCTATATTTTAAGTTGGGCTAAATGACAGGAGTGTACAAAATTTCATGATGATCGTTAGAGTAGTTAAAGCGTGAAAACGTAGCAAACAAACAAGCTCACTTTCGGATTTTTAATATTAGTAAGGATTAGTAGTAATGGCTTCACTAAGGAAACACAGTTTTTGAATAAGATAGCTGAAAAACCACCCGCATCTATGCGAGGCGAGTTTTTATATTTTTGATACCCTCAATGATATCATCTTCTGTTAGAGTAAAGGAACCCATATCAAGAGTAGAAGACGTGCTCTCAGTGAAATTTTTACGAATATTTGATAGGTCATCATCAGACAGGTCATTATCAGATACGAAGTTGGATGAAAAGAAACCTGCAAAGAAATTTGCAACCTCAGACACAGAAGTTGCATTCTCTTTTTTGTAAAAAACAGTCTTGGGTATACTCGAGTCTGCTTTCCCGGAATTAATATAGGACCAAAAATCCTTCGGACTTATTTTAATATCCGACTCAAAATCACGTATATAATTTTTGTAACGCTTCTTATTTAACTTTGAAAACTCTGATTTATAGTAACGATATTTTCCGAAAAAACATTGCGTTTGGTTGATTTAAATTTTTTATAAAATTTATTTTTCAAATTTTTTAGACGCTTTAAATCCTTTGAGAACCAAGAAAATGTATACATTTTTGGTTTAAAAATTGGCACATATTTAGAACATTGATCAGATAAGTGTGTTTTGAATACATTAAAACAACCTTCAACTTTGATATCCTGGAACAAGTTATCCCAGTGTAATTCACCCAACGCTGTATTCAATGCGACAAAGTCACAGCGATTATAACACAGGGCAACACTGATTTTGGTGCGGCAAATGTTAAATTTGTTTTTGATAGACTTTTTTGAGCTGATTACGAATCCGTAATTATAAAGATTCCATCACGTACAGATTTTGAGAAAATCGTGGTCAAAGTGTCAAAAAATCGGTTTTTCACATTTGAGAAGCTCGAGCTAAGAGTAAAAATGTGGTAGAACCTTCCACTTAGGCTTAACTTAAAGTTAGAACCCTAGGCTACTGCCCCTGAAAATACCATCCCTGCACCTTTACTTGATGGCCATTTATAGTCATTTGTGGAACAATAACAAAAATGCTGGCAAATTGTGCTATTGAAAACAAAATGCTGTAAAAATTAAGTTTTTGCTGTTCAATAAACGACGAAGAGATGGTATTTTTAGGGATTGTAGTCGAAAGTTCAAGCCTTAATTTAAACTTAAGTGGAAGGTTCTATCACCTTTTGTTTAATTGCGGCAGGGACTCAAACTTCGCCAAAAGTCAAATTTTACTGCTCAATAAATGACTATATGACGAGGGTTCTTGCTTTAATCTAAGCCTAAGTGGAAGGTTCTATCACCTTTTTACTCTTTGCTAGAGCTTCTCAAATATTGCAAAAGCCCAATTTTTTGACAATTTGACCTCGATTTTCTCAAAACCTGTACGTGTTGGATCCTTTGTACTTACGGATTCGTAATCAGCACAAAAAAGTCTATCAAAAATAGCTTAAACATTTGTCGCACCAACATTTTTTTTCATTTTTGTTGGCCTGTGTAATTAAATGAAACAGTTTTGTGTACTAGGAAATCTTCAAAAAATTCAAAAAATTCGATGTCTAAAACCAATGGTAAATGATATGAATTGGGTGGGGATATCGAAGAAGGTTTCGAAATTTCAAAGTTTATATTGTACGTTACAAAGACTAAGTCTAGAAAGCGATTCATATTGTTGGCGAGGCCGTTTATTTGAGTAAGGCCAATACTTAAAAAGTTATCAATAACATATGACTCAACAGAACTTTGTACATTTGAGGGAGTCAAGAATAAATTATTATCGAAATACGACCAGCTACATTTCTTAAGTTGAAATCACCAAGCACACAACGTTGGTCGTCCCCAATATTACGATGAAGAGCTAACACATTGTCAACATGCGACATATATAAGCTAGTACAGCTAAGTGAAGGTATCCCTGTCTTTACGAAAGACATCGTACTGATTCGGGTCGAAAAACTCCGCATCGAAAAAATTTGCATTGAGCCAAGTCTCAACGATAACAAAAATATCATACTCCAAGTACGCACTTAGCATTCGGACAGTATCGGCCTTAGTCCGGAGTCCAGAGGCGTTTTCAAAATAGTTTGATATGCTTGTTCGGCTTGGGAGAAGCAACTATGCTGGGGCAGTTGGCCTCCTTGTTCTTGAAAAAAACGGAACTGTCGAATATTAACATTTGTTGGCCAGATTTCTGGCTTCAGCTAATTAAAATATACATGTTCAGGAACTCCCAATTTGAAGTTGATATATTTTAGTGATGTCTCATTTGTAGCCTTCTTTGCCAGCTTATAGCAGGCAATTTGTTGCTTATCAACGATGACTTGATTCGCCACGTAATTAATAATATCAACTTCCGAAACCGTTGGCATGAACGATGATAAACGGAGCCACTTAGGACGCGAAAATACTCCCAGATCATTATTTTCATTACGGCCAACCACGACATTTCTCCGCTAGGGCACTTTCTTTCGCGGCACAGTAATCCAATCAGCACCGAGTTGCTGCTGGGTAGAAGCATTTAATATATCTGACGATATATTGGCAGATGTTTAGATGCAGATGGCAAAGAATTAAGATTAGCATTGATAACAGCAGCAGTGGAAGGTGAAGATATATTAGTAACAGTAGCCAATGCAGTTGATAACGCAGTCGGCATTTGTTTAGAAGCTGAAGTCAAAGCGACAGAAGTGACATTATTCACGTCAGCAGGAGAAGATGAAGAAGCATTGTTCGCTGTTATCATATTAGCTGATAATGCAGTTCGCATTTGTTGAGAAGCCGACGGCAAAGCATCCGAAGTAAAATTATTATCCGCCTCAGCTGGAGTTAGTGAGGGTGCATTATTAACAATCACAGAACTCTCAAAAGCCGAAGATTCAGCCAATGACAGAACAGACGTTTTAGCAACCATGTCAGTTTGAGAGTGTGAGACATTTTCCATGGCCGAGGTTGGTGACTTCACTTTCCGTAGGTCAAGAAAACCGTTTAACTTGTTCTTGTTGTTGTTCACCTTAGCAGTTGATTTAGAATTAGTAACAACATCTTTTAGGGCACTGAATTCTGAACATAAAGTTTTTAAACATGAAGAAACATTCTTGTTGTGTTCACAGTTTTTTAGATTTATTAAAGCAATTTCTTTATGAATTTCACCAAATTGGCCCATTATTGTGGTTACGATAGAGTCAAAGCCATTTTTATGCGTAGCCATGAAAGAATCCAAAGACCTTGTTAATTTTGCAGGCAACAACAAACACTCTGTGCGAAGATAGCAGATATGCTTATTCTGGTTAAATAGCCTGACATCATATTCTGATATTTGGCCAACACAGCAAGTACGGTGAAATTATTTTTGACAAAAACCACTGCACGGCACAAATGATTTGTCACACTTTAAATATTTAACGCAACCATCTTCGAACTCGTGTAAGAAATTTCACTTCAAAAAGGTTCCGTACGTCATGCGGACTGCGCCCCTCGTGTCGGTTGGCGGGTAAAAACCGTTGGCATTAATCAATTAACGTTGCTGGCTTAATTAGCTGAATACAAGTGTATATATGAATGGAACTAAAAAGTCTGAAGTTCTTTTCTTAAGATCACGTAATGAAAAAGAAATTCAAGCCCTCCTTCTAATGTAATGACTTAATTTATGTAAAAAACGGAAATACTCGGGTTCTTAGAAATTTGTTTAGGAACGTGGGTGAACTTATTAAAGATTTTATGACTTGGTGTTAAATATTTAACGCAACCAACTCCGAACTCGTGTAAGAAATTTCACTTCAAAAAAGGTTCCGTACGTCATGCGGACTGCGCCCCTCGTGTCGGTTGGGCGGGTAAAAACCGTTGGGATTAATTAATTAACGTTGCTGGCTTAATTAGCTGTATAATGCAAAAAAAAAAAATTATGGGTCCATTACGGATAGCAACGCAACCACGGTTCGGTTGGCAGCTGGCAACGCAACTGGAAAGAAAGTTTGTATTACGAGTGGCAACTATGTCAGTTGCTGTAGAGTTATCGATAATTGAAATTCGACAGTGCGACAAACAGCAAAGGGCTGTAAACAAGCTGTGCGAGTAAAATTAAATTATTAAAATAAAGAGTTTTAAAGAAAAGACAGCTATAAAAGTTGCGTTCCAGATGCTTCACGATTTGCAGGTTTTTACAGGAAGTCGTTCCAGGTGACCACCTTCCATAAGGATTACTAATGGAGAAAACCGCTGTTCCTGCAAATCGTGAATATCGTGAAGCATCTGGAACGCAACTAAAGCTAAGTTCATCACAATTATTTGTTTAAGAGGAAGAGAAGTGCATGAACGCGGCCTCAATCAGGCGACATTTAAAAGATACATCCAATCCTCTAGAGCTACCGCGTGCACTGTAAACAAAATTAATGCTTTCAAGGTTTTTCTTTTATTATCGTTTTGTGTTCATTTTCAACGCATATTGAGGACTTCCAAAAGGAGCTTTAATATAATTGGTTAATAAACAGATGAACCTCTTCGTTCAACTGTTTTTGTTATTTTTTGGCCTTTATAACAATTATATTCAACATTTTATATTGATCTCGAGGCCGTTTAAAATGAAAATTTTTATTGTGGAAAAGCAACAATAATTTGGAAAAAAAAACTTCAATACCTCCGTCATAAAAGCTTGCGCACCTTTTCGCACAGAGGGAAGTGCACAGCAATGACTTCAATTTGGAAAACTTGGTGTGTCGGTAGTTTTAAAAGAGTTGCTTCAGTTGATAAAGGAAAAAATATGCAATCTGTGTACGCTTTTCTTCGCCAAAGGGCGTACTGCAAGGGAACTAAAATTTCAAGTTATTGTTTTGTTATTTTCAAAATATTATGTAAAAGCAAACTGCATTGCAAAATGTTAATATCGTTCAAATTATTAAGAAGTAAAATATATGACACCCTTCAATTTTCGCTTCTAAATACGCTCCAAAAACATTCCCAGCAACCACAAAAATGTAGTCGCCTGTATACACACTTTGTAGCAACTGCAGTTGTCAGTTGAAAGGTGCCAGTTGCCATGCGTAATATCGTTTTGGCAACTAGCAACGCAACTGAAGTTCGATTGCTATCGATAATCGTCCCATTAAGCCCTCCTTCTTCTAATGTAATGACTTAATTTATGTAAAAACGGAAATACTCGGGTTCTTAGAAATTTGTTTAGGAACGTGGGTGCAGAATTAGATATACTTACCAAATATCTTATCTGCTCTGCTGTTCCACTGCTAGTAGCATTTGTTATTGCCCAGGCTGCTTCCTTTTTAGTTTTGAAATCGGCATTTTGCATTATGCTTATAAGTACAGGGAAAATATTGGCGTCAATCACAGCCTGAATTTGTTGTCTATTACCCGCTGCAACGTTAGAAATAGTCCAGCACGATTCTTTTTTAATGGTTTCAAATTGCGAACTCAATAAAATATTTATACATGACAAAGCATTGCAGTTCAAAATCACTTGCGTTTGAACATCATCTCCCGTTACGATGTTACCAACTGCTCGAAGCGCCGCTGTAACTACGTTGTTCTGTGGATGCCTAGTAAATTAAAATACATGAACATATTTTATTTTATAAACATTAAACATTTACATCAAAAGCTCCACAAGGCGTCGGCACACTCCCGCATCTATAACAGCTTGTACCTTATCATTTGGCCCATCGGACAAATAGCTGATAGCCCAGCATGAATCACTTAGTATATCGGGATCTGTATGGTTTAAAAGTCGTGCTAGGATGGGTAGACCATTTACAATTTTCGAAAAGTCTGCAGGGGGATTTTTACCGCGACACAAATTCGAAAGAGTCCAAACAGCATTCCTTATCAGAGTCAGTCGATTAGTGGTACTCAGTACACTATGTAAATATAAAGAGTAGATATTTTATATGCATTCAAAACAAATTAATAGTCAAGAAACCATTTACGATTTTCTTTCGAAATAGTTAATCAAAATTTGAATTTAAATTATTAAGGCAGTGACACACGCTTGGCCATTTGCCCAAAATTTGGTGAATATCGTATCCCAATTGAGTGAATGAACAAATAATTTTCTTTATCCCAATCACAAAAAACAATTTGTTCAAATTTTTCAATAGAAGTTCGTGTTATTGTACCAATCATGTGACTACAAACAAATTGTTCGTCCCAATTTTTTTATTTTGTACCAATAGCCCAATATCAAAAATATACAAATCTGTACAAATTTATCAATTAAAGGCAGTGTTTAAAGTACTTGAAAACAAGAATGTTACGTAAGCTGTTTCTTGGATATGACATTTTTCCACTCCCTCGGTAAGCGTGGGGGCCATCTGGTTGGCGGTAGATTAGGCGTTTACTACGTAGTAGTGCGTTCGAATATTCGCCTGTTTTCCAAAACCGGCTTTCGAGTTATTCGAAAAACTGCAATTTGGAAAAAACCGGTTCCCGTTTTTGAAATTGAGAAAACGCAGGTATACCGATTTCATTTCACATAATAATAATAATAATAATAATAATAGAAAGGCGCGTACACATATGTTAGTGTTTGGCCGAGCTTCTCCTCCGATTTGTAGCGTGCGCCTTGATGTTGTCACACAAAGCGGAGGGACCTACAGTTTTCGCCGACTCCGAACGGCGATTGTATTTTTATGAGAAGCTGTTTTTCATGGCAGAAATACACTCGGAGGTTTGCCATTGCCTGCCGAGGGACGACCGCTGTTAAGAAAAAACCTTTTTACTATATTTTTGCGATGTTGCTTTGACCAGGGTTTGAACCCAGGCGTTGTGGAGTGGAAGCGCGCACTGCTTACCACTATACCACAGCGGCCGACATTCATTTCACATAGTTTTCATATAATAAAGATGCTTATGTTGGTATGAAGTCATAACCAAAAATTTCAATAAAGCTATTAACAGTAAAGATAGCTTTTATTTACAAAAGAGCAACGCAACAAAAGTAAAACGAATAAAAAATAGTGAAAAATTCGCGTTTGGTCTATTATAACTTTTTTTTAATACTTTATTGCGTTTTTCTGACTTTTTTCGGATTTGTGTAGTGCTCTTACCGCCGTAGCCGAGTGCTTAGATGGGCCAGCTCCAGTGATCTGCTCCGAGGAACACTTCCGAGTTACTAGTCAACACGTTGCAAAGCAACTCATAGAACTCCAATAAGGCAATATAAGCGAAGTAATTATATGTTATGTACCAAGCTGTTCATTAGGGAAACTTGTATAAATATACGCAACCATGATTCGGTTCGAAAGAAATGTAAATAATATAAAATGAGTGGAAGATTAAGTAGAAACGTACGTTTGACTCGTTCGATGTCTCTTTTCGTTTCGATCAACTCGTTTCAAACAGAGAACAGAATGAATATACTAATTTCCATGTAGGCTTTGAAAACTCAATGCCGTTCACTCAAAAAAGCCAGTGGGAAACATGATAAAAATATGATACAAAAAAGAAGGTAGTTCCAGTAAACAACTTTTTGATTAAAAAGGAGATTTTTGACAATTGCTCAATTGTAAAAAATTCGAAGCGGCGTTACCCAATTTAAGTTTTTTGTTAGAGGGGATTTTATATCCTAAATCTGAGAGTATAAATAAAATAGTTGCGTTAATTTATTTTAAAAATAATTAATATCTTTTCTTAAAAACGTTTAGATTTTACATTAAATTCGATAACTACTTGCCAAAATCTTTATTTTTACATTAATAAAATTTTAGTGAACATATTTTAAAATTGTTTAGTGTCATTATTCATCTGATTATTTCACAATGTAGCTAGCCAGGAGTATTACAGTTTTCTATATCGGATACGTTTATTTCTGATATATTTCAGACACTGAAATTACAATTTCGAAATTGTCTTTGTCCATGTATTTAAAGTAACTTGAAAACGGAATTTACTTTAGGACCCATGGGCCTCATGACTTTCAGAAAAGTGAGTATTATCTAATTCTAGTATATTTCGACAATATCGTTGTTTCTGTGGGTAAACTGTTACTGTTCTATATTGGAGGGGCTGTGAAACAAAATTGAAGATTTACTGTTAGTATGAAAACTAGAAACACAATTGTCAACTTATTGAGCATTAAACCTCTTCTCTTTCAAAAAAAAGGGGAAATGTTCGGTTATTTGTTCAATGGTTTTGGGGTGGCGAGCGGAGACGGGCACATTAAAAAATTGGGTAAAATTAGAATTTTGACAAAGAAAATGTAAATCCAACTCCAGCTACGGTGACCACAGTATTTTTTTAAAAAAAAGGTCCATATTTCAAACCGAATTTATTCACAAATTTGTATCTGAAAGTTATAAATCTTTATTTTAGATTTATTTTAAACTGACGTGTAATTGTTTTATTACCACTCGTGTGTGTGAAAATTGTTTGCTTTGGGTTAAGCATTTGGACACATTACCCCAAAATTATTGTACAAGTAACCAGGCCGTACGCAACAATATACCTTTTGCTTGTTCAAATTTCGATTCTAAGAACAAAATGTTTGTAAATAACCAAAAAATGAATAACAAAACTTGGAGGGTTTTAGATATTGGGTATGGTAGCACGAAATGTCACAATCTACTTAATTGTCAGGTTGTTAATATGGCGACGAAAAAGTGACAATGGAACTACCTTCTTTTTTGTATCATGATAAAAACATTACAAGGTAAATTCATTCTCTCAATTCGTCTGCCATGACTTTTTTTCTGACGTTTGCCAACATGTTAAAATCATATAAAATTAAAAATAAAAAAATTAAATTGTTCACAATTGTTGTTGTTTGAGATTGAAAATGAGAATGTGTGTGAGAGTTTGAGTTTCGAATTTTAAAATTATATTGTTGGCAAAGGTCAGACTCAATGGTTTTACCTTGTTATATTTTTATCAAGGTGGGAAACCTTCTTTTACCAGTGAATCTCATGTCAATTCTCTCACTAATGTTAAGCTGCTGTGCATTCATTTGCTTTCGAGTACTCTATTTCGAGTATTGCTATTTTAAGTCAAATTATTTGACTGAAAAACTCGTTTATGACAAACGAATCGAGCACTCGAATGATATTGACTGGAAACGGGTTATATCAAAAAAATAAAGGCACGCAGATTCGAAAATGGATAAGGAAGATGTTAGTATTTATATTTTTGAATTGCTCGTAAATATTACAACTTACATTTATTCAACAGGTAAGTAATGACACTATGTGCAGTGATGAATCGATCGCTTCCCAGAGCAATCTTTTGCATCACAACGCAATAAAAAACTTGGTACCGCGTCGCGTTTGCTGCGCAGTTTATAAACACAACAGCAAATCAACTACCGATCTAATTCGACATAAATGCTATATCGAAGAAAAAATTATGTAAGCGAAGAAAATATAACCGTCGAAGTAGATTCCGTAGCCAAAAAGAAGCCGTGGAATTAGTCACTGAATGGGTTCTACAAAACTGCCGTCCATATAAAATAATAGGTGATTCAAGAGTCGAAAAACCTACAAAATTTTCGATTTGCATCGGTGCTAAATATGGGGCCAATGTTAAATCGCTGTTGCCACACCTGACCACAGTAGCTAACAATGTGGAAAACATTTACTTGAAAATGTTTGCTCAAGTCAAAAGATATGTTGCTTCTATTAAAAATATAGGGTTCGCTTTAATGTCTGATTTGTGGACCGACTTCTATTATCATAAAGCTTTTGGTGATAACAATGCATTTTATAGAGGTGGGAAACTGGATAATGTGGTATTGGGGATGAAAAGTATGGACGGAGAAAAGTGCACCGGTAAGTGGTTGGTATTATAGAGTGTGCTATATATTCTTGGTGTCAATTTTAGGTACAAACTGCGAACGAGATGGTAACAATAGTTACTGACAGAGGATCCAATATGCTAGCATCATTTCGCAGAGAAACAAATATATTTTGTGTAAATCACCTGCTACACAATGTTCTGAAGAAAGCTATGGAAGATGTTCCAGTTGTAACAGATCTGTGCGACTCTTCTACAAAACTTGTAAGATATTTCAAAAAAGGTGGTCATAAATCCTCGTTCAACGTCACTGAAGAGCTTTTGTCCAACTCGTTGGAATACATTCTTTTATGTTCTAACTTCTTTAAAGAAAAACTGGAGTGATGTAATTTCGGTGCTTCAGCTAAAAAATTAAATGCATAGAATCGGTCATTTAGATATTAGTTATATTAGCACCATTCTGGAAATACTAGAGCCGTTTGAAGAAGCGTTAAAGGTGACAAAAACCCTACATTTATACATTTATGTCACTAGTCTACAAAAAAGTGCATTGTCAACGCAGAAGACATTGGTTTTATAAAATAGTTTGAAAAATAAATTCTTACACTATTTAAACGCAGTTGTACTTGAAAATTTACAAGATTTACACAAAATTGCTTTTTTCTTGTACCCACCAGCAAAAGATCTGAAGAATTTCACCGAAGATGAACGTAGACTCACAAAAGGGAAATTTGCTACAATGATGAAAGCATTAATAGAAAAATCTGAGAATCCAATAGAAGCAGAAACTACTGGACTTCGACATAATCAATTGGTGGGAGCTTCATAAAAGTGAAATGCCATTGCTGCATAAGCTCAGTTGCAGATTATTAGCAACCCCCGCAAGTAGTGCATCCTCCGAAAGAGTTTTTCATCTGCAGGAAACATAATTTCGGAAAAAAGATGTAAATTATTGTCAAACGATACCGGACTAAACCAATTGTTATTTTTACATTGCAATATGCACATATCAGTTGAAAGGAATGAATAAAACTAGTTTCTAAAACTATTATTTGTTCACTTTCCTTCATTTATTTATTAAATAAATAAAAAGTATTAAGGAAAGTTAGATACACTGCAGGTGTTCGCAACTTCA